CAGGGGCTCTCTTCCGAGAAGAGTTCCAGGCACATCTACTTTATGGAAGATAATTTATTGCATGCAATGTCAATGTTAGGGTATGTGTATTTCCATGTTGTCACAAAAGTTCTTCGTATATCCTATGTCACATAGTACACACAGCGAAAAGAGAGATCAGAGAACGCGTCAAGTGGTCGCTTACAAGAGGTTAAAAACAATGGAAAATCATTTATCGTCAGATTCCAACTGTAAGGCTTTGACTGGGAGAATTTTGGGGTTTTGGATTGGCGGTCGCCTATGTGCCAGGATTTAAGTGCACGTCATGGTTAGCCTGTTAAAAATCGCATTGTCGAATTGCCAATCAGGATGAAGGAAAATTCGAAAACCATTTCCGGTAATTCGTCGAGTTCCCATGGGGGCCCAGAACAAGGATATCCGTTACTAAACGGGGTTAGATTACGTCTGTGACGCAGGCTACTGTACGGCGTCTTCCCAGGCGTTCTCGGTAAAAACTCGCCCGGGGCACGTGATCCGAAACGCATACGCTGCGCGGAATAATGAGGCCTAGGGACTAGGCAAGCAAAAACCGGGGATAGACCTCGAGATACACCTTCAGCGCACTAACACGAAACCACCGCATCACCACAGCTATACGATCGATTAAAAATAATTAACAATTATTGAATGAGGCTGAGTATGATGTAGAGAATTATGCAGATCGAGACAAAGTTCCTTCAAGCAGTCAGTGTGTACTGATCCATCTTTCACTAGTCCATGTTCTTTTACCATTCTACGTTTTACCAACCAGCTGCCAACTGCAGTATTTTTCTGTCAAACCTGTCAGACTAGATCCGTCTGGTGACAACTACCGTAAGTAATACGACTCGCGCTTGTTTTCCCCCAGACAAAGTGCATTTGTTAACGTACATAAAACACGACTGTTTCCGAGACAAATCCTAAAACTTCAACTTTGGATTGATTTAGCGGCAGTAAGTACAGTCAACATTAAGGCAAATAGCAGCGTATAACACTGGTTTGAAAGAAACGTGAAAACTAGCTAGGGATGGCAACACGGAGCATGTGTTTCTACTTAAGTCTATTGTATATAACGCATGCATTTCTTTAATCATAGGAATGCTTTTACTTTCAGGGTTCATGTTCCATAAACAAGAGAAATTATCAGTTCACTCATTTTTCAAAGGCCTCCTTCCAGCTACAGGTATTGGCCAAACTAGTTTTTTGATTTGCTTATATCTGTGCCTACTCTAGCAGTTATATGACTAAGGCGACTTTACAAAAGTGATTGCACCCTGCTTGCATGTCCGGGGGGAACTCCCGTACAAAAGTGACGTTTATTCTCGTTGTCACACTTAGGGGTGTAAATGGCAGATTTTGATATCACTAAGGGTGTTTGGGACGGAAAGTCACTATATTTGCCCACTCAAGTATCGCTCAGGGCTGATGCATAAAGAAATCTTTGCAAAAAATGCCGTGATGTCTTAAAGGAGCTGTGTCACGAAATTCAGCCAAATTAGGTAATTACAAAATGCCTGTTAAATTAAGAGAAACGAAAAAATAACCGCTTAAATCATTAAAGGAAGGTCAAAATAACACAACAACGGATTGAAATTATTAGGGTTTTTGAAAACTGTTCAGCCTAACAGTTTTTCAAAGTTGATCTCTGCTGTTTGCTACTTCATATTTGTTTTTCTCGAATCTCTGATTTTGTCATTTCCTTATAATTTCTTTGCTGACTTTAAATTCCATACCGATTGAGGGCGAGCAATTGGCAAAATTAAACAAAATGAACAGGACCGCCGTGACACAGCCCCTTTAATCCTTTAAGGGTCAGTTTAATTAAGCTTGAGCAACAACCACACATTGGTCTCCCTTAGGGGTTAAATTCTAATTTTCCAACGAGCACCCCCGTCACTTTTACATGGGAATTCCCCCTCCCCCCCACCCGAGTGCGTGATACAGGGGAAATAGGAGACATCTGCACGCATGCTAAAATGAGTGATTTTGCCATTTGTGCATCTCACGTAAGGATATAAATGTTGGCACCCAAAATTATATTAGGTTAGTGTTATCAGCCTCAGCCTTCGGCTTCGGCTGATAACACTTACCTCGACCTTGATTATTCCGGATATCACAAAAACCTCATCCAATAATAACAACACAAATTCGACAAGCTGGGAAAATAGGGCTTCGTGGGGCAAATTGCAGGCAAAAAGGCACTGGCTGATCCAGGGTGCCATACGAATGCCCCTCCCACCCCCTTCAAATTTTAGCGCAATGAAATAACTTGTTTGGTTCTGACATATTTATCACTGAAAAATCATGTGTGATGGCCTACGTCGATGAAATTTTCAGAAATTACTGTGAATTAATTAAGAGCGTCTTCTAGGGTCAAAATGATTAACTTTAATACAGCTTCAATAGTTTTAGCAATTTTGGACCCTCCCTCCCCCCAGCTACCATTAAAAAAAATTAAGAAATAACAGATTACTAAGTACATTACTGAAGAGAATGAAAATTGTTCCATTTTGTTCAGTTAGGAGCAAACCTGATGGAGCTTGTTTAATGAACCATCCTACCAAATACTAATAAACAAGTAAAGTACACGATATATATTATAATACCGTGTAAACCATACACTCACGGATAGAAAAGCAAAGTCGTCAGCAGTAAATTCAGATTGACGTATTTAGTGATAATCGAATAAATCACATTTAAACCGATATGTAACCCTTTCACTTGATCCCTACGGTGGCAACAATCCAAATTCAACAAAATTTCCAAATTCCATTTTCTTAAATCATGAAAAGCAAATATCAGAGTACTGCCGAAGAGGTTTTATTTGAATGGTAACCGACCATACGATTTCATCCACAGACTCAAAAGTTAGAATTAGATAAATAAGTAGTACCAGGTAAAAGCACTGCTGAAGAGGTTTCGATCATTTGAATGGTAACACCATAGGATTTTATCCATAGACTCAAAAGTTAGAACTGCCTTTATCATCTGTGAACCCATTCTGTAGATGGGAGAGGGACTACTAGGATTAAAAAAAAAACCACTCGTTTAGGAGCTATCGGGTATACTGTTTATGTCTTCCAAAATTATTTTTCCACGTGGTATTGTTTTGCTGGTCAAATCTCCAGTAGACTTGCGGCATATCCATTTTCGGTCCCTTACTGAGAGGATTTTTATACCGGCTAGACTGAAGAAACAGCATACTGTAGGTCAGTCTATCATCAAGTTCAAAAACTAATAATAAAGAAATAATAATAATAACATAAATAAATAAACGAATGATGTTTATTCGGTGCTTAAATATAATCTTGAAAAAAATAATACCACTGTACAGAAACAACTGGAACGCATAAATCACGACCTTTCACAGCCAACATGATCCCCGTCTAAGACATTCCACCATTTTTCAATGTAATCCAGAGGTCTCTAACCCAGGGTCTATGCATCAACTACGTACACTGTATGCTGAACTTTGTATTAAATGTCACGTAATCTAAGCGTCGTGACAATAGGGACCTTTATCATCACGTTTCTTCATGGGAAACTGCAAACCGCAAACCGCAAAATGTCACGTGTCCACGGCCTTGCGGTCACGTTTGCAGTTTGCAGTTCACGTTTGAACCGCAGGTAAGTGATTTACGGCAAGGTTTTTTGCCACAAAAAATTGTACAGCCTCGCGTTTAAAGGTACGTGTGAACTAGCTTTTTATATCCGTTTGCGATGTATTTGTTGGATTTTTGATCTCCAATCAGTGAATTATTGCTGATTTTTGGGCGATTAAAGTGATGCACTTCGACTTGATGAAAACAACATGGCGGCCCTAAACAATGAACGCTTAGTTCAAATCAATTTTATGTTCCTTTCTGCCGTACTAACAAAGGAAAGTATTCTGTTCCAACTCAGAGTTAATTTTTTTCCCTCTTGTTACTGAATTCATAGCTTAACCCAGTCTCTGGTTAGTTCCTATTTTTAACGTATGACTCCACGAATTTCATTTTATCTTGCTTATTTCTTTGAGACTGGGGAGCCCAGGATTCATAAAGCCTTCTGGTTTCTGCTGGGCTCCCTTGCAACCTTACAATTCCTACATGTATTCTTGTATTGTATTATATTTTGGCTAAATTAAAAATGAACTGAACTGAACTGAACGCCTTGCTAAAGTTTCAAATCTCGGCAACGCGAAACTGCAAACGCGTAACTGCGGTCTGCGGTTTGTAATGTTATCGAGGGTGTGTTAGTCAATGCTGTCTTGTTTATACGCCATTCTGTAACTAACGAAGTTTTAGGTCATGCAGCCGAGGATCAAAAGCAAATCCGAACTTCGAGTTGGTAAATAAACCATCCCAGATCAGTCCATACGAAGTTTTACAGTCCGGTGATTGATTAATACAGTCTATCATTTATTGGTGAAAAATAATTAGGGGAGGGGAGGGTGGCTTATTAACTTTCTTCTCCTGAAAAGGGGGGGCTTATTTTAGGGGGGGGGGGCCTTAACAGAGGATTTACGGTAAGCTATTGAGAAAGCTGCAACAGCTGTCTGTAATTCTTGACCATTGCATGAGACTAGATCCTCGGTAAGCGAAGTTCGCTTTGTACGGTCGAGGTCGTTTTTCTGTGGTAGACACAAGACGTGATCGAGAACCAAAATGATTCCAGTGAAACAGCTCGCACTGCAAGGTGCAGCTTCCAAAAGCAAACACATAAGGAGGAATTTAGTTTAGGAAGAACTTCACGAAAAGTGTTCTTGTAGCAAGGCCATCTCGGGTTATCTCGAATTCATGGAAACGTTTTATCGATTAGGAATGTATATCAGTTGTTGAGGGGGGAAGGAGTAGCCTCCCCCGCAGACATTCTTAGGCGTGCGTCACGCGTTCCTTCCGTGGGAAAGGAACGCGTGACGCACGCCTAAGAATGTCTGCGGGGGAGGCTAGGGAAGGAGGGGAAAAAAGTAAATCTTACGGATCAGCCAAAACAGTGGAGCAAAGGGCAATAACATGCAAGATAAAGCTATGGTAAAGCAGTTACTAGTACCAGTACTAAGCAAGTACCCATGCACCCAGTAATGTGAACAGGAGTCGCAGTCACAGAGTGAATCAATCCTACTTTCGTCTTTGTAGAGATCAAGAGAAGAACCGGCCGCGTCCAAACCCCATTGATCATAATAACACAATTCATGCACCCCATATTATAGCCAGGGCAATGTGTCAGTACTGGTAACAATACAGCAGGCTTTTCGGTAGCATTTATTTTTGGAAGTACCGGATGTATTACAGTGAAGCAATGTGAGAGAAATTCGGCTAACAACGTTACGAGACTTATTTGAGATTGAGTCGGAGTGTTAATTCTACACAAGCTTATCAAGATGACGAGAAAGCCATTGTTAACGTTAACCTAGTACCTACAATAATTACAGCATTTGACTCCGATCATCAACTTGTCGAGTACAGTGAAGTTTACAAAGTTTCTGCCCACCGTGTACGAACTATCCGCATGTTGAACTTTGTCCATAATGTCACGTAATATTTGAGGGCCGCGATAACATGGCGTAATAGCGAAAACATGAGTTTTAAAGGCGATTTAACGGCAAAATTACGAACTTCATTCTATTCATTTTATTAATGACAATTGTAGTTTCGCTGTACTACAGGGTTTACAAATCTTTCTACAGTCGTCCACACACAAACAAAACTGAGAAAACGCAAAAAATTAATGGAAATCAGTTAACTATTAAAAAAAAAAATTGTGCTTGACTGGTATGTGTTGAATTGGAACCTTGTCCCGATAGTGCGGAACGCGCGCTAATGCGGACAAGTGCCACTTCGGCGAAACGGCCAGGATGGTTAGTGCTTGTGCGGTGGCAAAAGCTTTAAATTATGCTGTTACTTGCTTTGTATAAGTGATATTAATGAACCAGCCTTTGAAGACATAGGGGCTGTTTCCATGGAGGGAGGAAGATCCTAGTACCAGGAAGACCATAGAGGGCGGATCATCCTAGCGCCATATGTTTTCTCCATTCAGTTTACATCAAAAGGGTTGTACTTGTCCCTAGCACTAGGATCTTCCTAGTACTAGGATCTTCCTGACGGAAAGGTAGGAAGATCCTAGCACCATATAAACTGCTTTCGCTAGGAAGATCCTAGTACTAGGGACAAACGCGACAAAAATGTCGGCGGGTCGTTTAGTGGCTAATTACCGCAATAAAGGCCGACCATTTCGTTTGGAGTAATCCACGAGCAGATTATTGTGTTAATTCAGCTGAAAGGTAGTGATTTACGCCAGTAAAGAGAGCAGAAGGACCCAAATTGCATTTTTGATGTTAACGTCCGCCATTTTGAATTCCTTCTCTAACCTTCTCTACTTGGCCAACTCACGGGCCGAAATTTCTGCATGTAAACCCAACGTAAAGTTATTCCACCTCCTAGGATCTTCCTCCCTCCATGCAAACAGCCCCATAATTAACTTAACGCGATCCCGAAAGTAATGGTAGGAAGGCTAAACTTCAGGCCAGGGGCCGGCGGCCGGGGCGTTTTCTCAACTTCCGAGGTTGCACTGAGCCAGTGGGCGTCCGCTACTGTGAAATACGTTGATAAAAGAATACACGAGTAATATGGACAGGGCCAGGCTCTCAGTACGCTCTTAAGAGAACGAGTGATGTGACCTAAATAATAATAATAACAAAAACGTTCCCAAAGTCACAGTGAAAGTAAAGGAAAAGTGAACCCAATAGCTTAAAGGTTGAACTGCAGCGACAGCTTGATTGTGTAACACTATATTAGAACGTAAAGAATTACATTATTAGAGCGTATAAGAATCCACATTCCAGATCTTTGAAACCTGATATTGATTATTTTTCATTCAAAATATTTCCCCATTCTGATTGGCTAAAAGCACACGTTTAATTCCCCATAACCAGTTACTGATGACCAAATTTGAAAGAATTTTGTGTTTAGTGGGGAAATGACGTCAAAAATGCAGCGTTCTTGCAGGTTAATGCACCGTTAACCGAGAAGTCCTGGGACGAGTTGTTTTGGTTGTGAACTTGAAAAATGGCGGACATTTCACTCGTTTCAAGAGTAAGAACTAGTCGAAAAAATAGCTAAAAACATGGCAAGAACCGCAAGAAGACATTTCGAAGGGCGACATCTGCTATTTGGAGAATATTTGCAGAGCTGAACAACCCTAAACGTCCACTATCGAAGATGAACTTAACATCGATGGATCGATGGAGGTAATCATGTTTTAGCCATGCTTTTAAACTAGGAATCATTTTGAATGAATAATAAAACAATTACTGAATTCGGCTTTCGTAATATGAACTCCATAATTCTTCATAAGATACTCAGCATCATTCATTAATTGTTAAGTAAACCTATATAGAAGCACTGGCGACACCTGTCTGCACAAGGAAATAAACATTCCGAAGCTTGTTTCACGTGATATAACCCAAAATCTCAACCGAACGGGGCCTAAGTAAACCGACATTGCAAAACAGCCCGTTTTTGCGCAGGTCAAGAACGCGCGAGGAGTCAAACGGATTGACTGGAGCGAGGTTAAAAGGGAAATGAAGGGGCCTGCTAAGGAGACTTTAGAGACGGTGGGAGACCGGGAAGAGACGCAAAAACGGAAACTGACTTGCCAGAATCTCGGGTTCGCTGATTGAAAACCCGATTTTAAGGAATGAGACGATTGTATTCTAATTTATGGTCAACCAAAATGCACCTCAATCGGGTTGAGCAATTGCTTCACAGTCAGCCTCAAGTAAACAAGGTAAGACCGTTTATGGTCATCATCATCGTCATCATCAGCAGCAGCAGCGGCAGCATTAGAAAGCTCAGCATCAACAAATAAGGGAGGTCCGAATGTATTAGAATTTGAATCTCCCGCCATTTTGTTTCTAAAAATAACTTAAGAAGCATCATCTATAGAATAGAGCCTGAAATGCGGAATTAACCTTCTTACCCTTACCTTCTCTCTTGATACAAACTTGAGTATGTAAACATTTTTTTTAGGAGATGGCGTTAGCGTTAAGTTGGAACTACTTGACTAATTCAAGTGCTGTTGGAACAGCCACACAACTATGACTCTTGTAAAAGGCGTGCCAACGTTGCAGAAGAAGTAAGTCAACTTAAGGCTCTTAAATTGTCCTAATTATGATACTGGCGTAATAGACTTATCCGGAGTCGGGGCAAGAACTGGCTCATTTTCTGTCATTCAGAAATCACTGACCGGCTTTCTCGCCAAAAAGATTGATAAAGAGTGCATTCAGGAGGAATAGATCTTCATTTGCTTGCATGACCAGTTTCTGCCATATTTGCACAGACACACACAAAAACACAAACATTTTTCTTCATGTCTTTTTTAGTCGGTTCACCTGGTACTTATTCACAGAAAAATTCGCTTTCCTGAAGATTTAACTGTCTACTAGCTCGTGAGAAACCAATGTCAAAAACATAGCGTAAAAAAGGAAGCAAAAAAGAAAAAGCAAAAGAAAGAAAAGAAAAGAGTGCCGCGAAAATTAAAAGCGCTATGGGATAAAAGTGTACTTTAATTATTTTTAGCAAGCTGGATGCAAATTAACTACTTTGCTGTCAAAAGATTAATTAATTAATAATAATAACAACAGCATGTGGCTATAAAGCTTAGTCTTTTCTATTCGTTAAATGTTCCCTTCCTCAAAGGCGGATCAGAATATCTCTTACGAATCTGAACATTTGCAGCGTTTGAGCCGGAGAATAGTTATTGTCTTTCTGCTTTTTATATTTTCTTGATAACATATAAGCAAAAGAGTTACATGAAATGAAACTGTGGTCTTCGGGTTGTCTGAATCTTTTAAAAATTATCTCGATTCTACACTTCAACCCTGTCCTTGTGCACAGTACATGGGGCAACCAAATTCAGGGAGCCCATGATAATTGATGCGTAAAACTGCCAGAGTTTGGTGACTTTATAAGAATGTCTTTCCTGCGTCGCTTATTGATAATTAGTTTAAAATGTCAACTTTCCTTAGAGCCTTCTGCAGTTCAGAGACCAACCCTAGTAGGGTCTTTTCAGCCTTTCATTAGGTTGTCTAATTTTTCGACGATAAAAGAACTTCTTTTTTCGTGCCTTTCGTTGACTTGCAGACTAGTTACAGGGCTTAGACTAAACTTAAACGAACTGTCACTGCAGAAAATCACCAAAATGAAGAACTAAAAGGCGAAACGTATTTAAAATATACATATCAACGCAATAAGTAAAGTTTTTTTACTTACGTTCAAAGCAATTCAATTCTGGCGTGCCAGAAACTGTAATAAGGTCTATCAGTTGAAAGCTAAAACGTCTTCTTTGCAGTGAATTTAGATTGCCATATAATTGTTTTACCTATATAGTTCAAGAAGAACAATCATGGCGATTTATTTGGAAGGTAAATTGACGCAAGTGTTCCGGCAAAGTGTAGCGAGTTAATATATAAGCCTGACGGGGAAATCGGCTCCTATTTCCTTTGTTGAAAAAGGACGTCGCTTCTCCGGGAGCAACATAGCCAAAAGGATTCGGCTGCGTGCAGGCTAAGTAATCATAGCTTACAAACCAAGCATTTCCTGACATTTCAATCTACAGATTTTAATGCTGGTAAAACCACGTATTCCGAATTAAAAAAAAACAACACAAAACAAAACAAAACGCAAAAAAAAAAAAAAGCAACAACAACAACAAAAAATACTTACATTATCTCGACAAGTGGCAAAGAGTAAAGGCGAATAAAATGGAACGGGTAAAACTTTCGACTTGATCAAGAAACTGTTTCTTGATCAAGAAAATTTGAATGATCTTAACTTTAGCGGACAGTTTGCTACAGTCGGTGCTTAAGGTGTTGTTACACGGAGCGATTCGCAACGATGATCTTTAACGCAGCAGAGAATTGCAATTGGTTGGAACGTTGCACTATAATTTCAGCATAACACTGATTCTTCTGCAGCAATATTATGCTTAAAATTAAGCCAATATACATTATGAACTATCCTAACTGCGATACCCCTGGGATAATTCCTAAGATACCGCTTGTGTAAGGAAAAATAGCAGTCCAAAAACGCTTGAAATAGGAAAACCGCAAGTCAAATTTATCAGCACGTGCATGACTCAACTTTAACCCGCGCCCGTGACCGATCTAGGAATCAGAACCTTCTGGAGATTTGCAGCCTTGGAATGTTTGCGAAATCGAAACCGAAATCGTCTTGTTACTTGGTATATGAATAACATGTGAGAGAAACTTTAACTTGTGAACTATCTATGGATCAGACTATAGCCTCTCAATTTCGATTGGTGAGCGAAGCGGGACGTTTCCCTCGGTTACGTAACTATTAATTCCCTACCTCTTATGGTATGCTGCAAATCGTCGAAAGAGTCGTAAGATGGTCCGAAGCCTGGATAACTCATACGTTTAAGTTTAGCTCACGTGCAGTTTAATTTCACTCACGTGCATTTACATAGCAAGCTGCAATGCTCTTGAAAGCTTAGCTAACCATCCCCTGGTTCTACATCTCATAGGACTTCTAAGATTTGCAACCTTTAATCTAGGGTTTGGTTACGCAACCCACCCTCCAAAAAAAGGCGCGTTGCAACTTGGTGTACCAACCGCACGTGAGTGAAATTCACCTGCACGTGACAGAAAACCTAAGCCTGTATGTTATCTACGGATACTACTGACTAAAGCAGTTGCGTAACTGCAAGTGAGTGAAACTTTGACCTGTGAGTGTCTGAAGATTTGCAGCCTTCGATTTGAACCAGGGATTTGTAGTTACGTAACCGAAGAAAAAGATTGTTGTAGCTTGGAAAATTAACAGCACTTTTGAGTGAAATTCTAACGTATGACTGTTCTAGTAAATTTATATATAACGTTTTGCCATGCGTTCAGCGGAAAAGCATTTTTAAGCTGTTTTTGTGTGTTCATAATCAATTTAGAATCGAACAAGTGAAGGAAACGATCATTTTCGGAGTAGTCCTTGGCGAACATCTGTCTTGTAAACCTCCGCATTTCTCAATTTGCTATAAAACCTCTAAATCAGTAGCAGTCAGTTATAGAGCAGGTCTTTTTCTACCCAAACCCTGTTTTAAAACTCTTTATTATTGTTTAGTTTACCCCTTTTTCCATTATTGTATTATTGTCTGGGTATCTACCTACAAAACAAATCCTTGCCGTCTTGTCTCTTTGCAAAAGCGAGTTGTTAGAATTGTTTCTAGGGACTATCGATGCTCATTAAGACCCTATTTTCAAAGAATTGGAGCTATTAAAAACCTTCCCGACATTAGACAATCTTATGTTTTCTCTCAACCATGGCCATTCTCTTCTTCCATTAAGGTTCAAAGATTACTTTTCTTTTCACAAAGAAGTCTCCCGGGAGAAATCTAATGATGGCTATGACACTAAATACGCGAATGATTTTCACCTTCCTTTCTGTACAGCTAATCTTCGTAAATTTTCTGTGAGTTTCCAAGGACCAAATTTTTCTGCTCTTTAGGAAATGAGATCAAAGTTCTGCTTGTCTCTCCTCATTCAAAACAAATCTTCGTAAACATTTCTGTGAGAATTATAAATTATAAACCTTGTAAATAGTTATTTTTTCTTCACAGTGTCCAATTATTTAGGTTATATGTTTGATACTTTACTTTATGTTGTTATACATTTATATGTATTTATATTTACTTAGATTTATCAATGTCATTTAATACTTTATATTTTATAACCCGAGGGAGCCCAATCTTCATAAGCCTTATGATTTCTTTCTCACTTATTTCTCTACGAATAATGCTGAAACCCTAGTATATTTCAAGGAATTATCATGATTTTATACAATTACTGTATATCGTTATACTGTGACGAACTAGTTGGATTGAAAAAGTAAACGTCGTTAACCCTGTCCTCTGAAGGCGCAACATACCTCTTTCCACCTTTCCACAATCTGTCGATCCAAAAAGCCGTAAACAGGCATCTCGAGGCATCACATGGTCTTGACGACCAATGATAGTCACACCCTACGGTCTAGCAAAACCGGAGAAATACATGCAACTCTAGCACGATTGAAGACATGATGACTGCAGTCAAATGTAGTTCAACACTACATTTTCACGTCCAATTGACAAGAAATTATGAGATAGTGCTGTTGTACCAGTTATGAACAAAACTGTTAAAAATACTACAATGTCCTCTTGGATAATTTTACATCCTCTTCGGCGTCAGTTTCGCTGCCCTAACTTACCATTGCAGCATTATTTGCTTTCCGCATCTCAAATCACGTCTGTGATGGGACTAGCATAAATGAGAAGTAAATAACCGAAAGAAATTAATATAAGCTAATTTACTCTGAAGAATATCAAAGATGATCATATGTTGTTCTAAAATGTTTTCCTTTACGGGGTTTTTCTTAATAACATGCTCAAATTATTTTTCCTTGTTCGCCTCAGCGATTTCTTGCCAAGTTTTGTTCAACTCAGGAGCATCTTAGTGAAGGATATCAAACGTAATGGGAAGTTTTGAGACTAATAATGTACCGCCTCAGTACCATTGAAGAAATGAAAACTCTGCCAGTCTTAACGGATTTTTATCTAACGTCCGTCGAAGTTGTGTGGACTTGCTTTTCAATATTGCTGTCGATTTTACATTGTGGGCTGCCACTGAAGGAGAGTTTGATGGTTTGGTAACTTGGGAGTGATTAGGAAACGCGGGGACTTAGAAAGCTAGTACATGAAGTCAGTCGAGATTTCTAGATAACATTGATTCAGCGTGTGTAGCGACTGCTATTGTATTCTAATGAACACAAAAAGACCCATTTGATTTCTCTAAAATTAGGCTTCCAGCCAGTAACTGTTTTCAACATGATAGAGGCGGTTGTGTGTTCAAAGAGCTAACCGAGTGTCTTAAACTGATTGGGTGAAGTTCACAGTACTGAAGTTTTTGACCGTTAAGTAGCTGTTATAGTAACAGGTTTCTGAACGGACAGAAAAAGTTGCTGTTGTACTGCAGTAGCTTTGGGTTAGGCGTATATCAAATTTGCTGCATTCCTCCACATAGTCAAGCGAGTGATTCAACTCGCCAAAAACTAGTCTTGTGAGCAGTTTCGGTGTTGCTGTTTTCACTTATTACCGCCGGAGCTACGTTTTAGTCTCTTTATGGAAAATTTGAGAAAATCTGAGGGAAAAGTAGGGGCGCAATGTAGATTAGGGAGCGGCGCCCGTTTAATAAACAACCTTCATATTTCAGTTCCTCATGGCAGTTTTGTACGCTCAGTTCAGGAAATCATCCCGACTCGTATCTCGCTGCTTTGTTGAAGCTGTACTTGTCTACGTTACTTAACTCGTTCAACGGCGATAGCATTTTTATTCACAACAAAACTTTTATTTGCTTGATCCAATACGTCTCAGAAGACCACGATTCACAACCAACAAATTGAAACACGCGTTAAGTTAATTCAGTTCTTGCATGAGCGCGGCCTTGCCTCGCAACCATCTAGCTTTACCATGACCTAGTTCACTCAAGTATGCCCTTGCTTAGTGGTCGAACGACTTGTTATAGCTCTTAGGTTTCCACAAACATCGATATGCAAACATTGCGGGGGAGATTGTCTCTGTGAACGTGTACTTGGTATGGTTGCGACTTACATTCACCTGTTACATTACTGAATTGTTAAGAAAATCTACGGCAATCTTCCATCAAGTCTAAAAGGTTCTCTACGGTTTACTATAAATTATATTTTAAGTTGTTAGTAGCCCAATTCAATTCTAACGAACATATTTCCTCAATTGCAAGCAAGAGAACAATTTATTTCCCAAGAGTGGCAGGCACGGACAGTAGCCCTCCTTTGCAGCCACCATTTTGCACTCCTCTGCTAAATTGTTCAAATCCACGTCGCAGAGCCAAAGCTTTCACTCAACAGTTATCGACATCCGCGTTTATTTAAGATCCTGTGGCTCAACCGCCGGGGGATGACAGCGTGGAACTAAACCCTCTAAAATTTGTATGCATACCTTAATATTAATCAAAGGCGCGAATAACTTATTACTGTTCTTCTTGAGAGCGTGGTTGCTGTTAGTGAGGATCATAAGGCGAATCAATGGGCGTTTGATAACCAGTGCCATTAGTATGTCCTACTTCCCCTCGAGAGATTTGCAAAACTAAGGTTTCGACTTCCCTACGGTTCTGACATGTTTTTGAATCGGCTTTACACGCTGTACACGTAAGACGTGCGTAAATAAGCCCACTTCTCATGCGTAAAACTCGAACATTGTTCTAACAGCAGATTTTTCTTAAGCCCTTTTTATGAATTCCACTTTGCAATGACCGCAGCCGGGATGTGAAAATACCAACAATCAGGAAATGAGTACTTTACCTTATATTTCATCTGTCTCTGCTTCTCAGATGAAACTCAGCGGACAAAAAGTCCTTCCCTCCCAAGTGTATGAGTATAATACAGAATACTTCTGATACTTAACTAAGTCTAACCTGTGAATAGTGCTGATGCTTTCCCTGTACGTGTAAAGCTCACTGAAAGCTCGTTTGTTTGATTGTCATTACTGAAGTTGCGTTATTTATTACACGTTTAAATCGAAGGCGTTGGCACGTGACTGAACTGTCCGTGGCCATCTTCGCACGTGCCGGAAAAAGTCAGTCATAACACGTTTACAATACTTGTGCACTGGCTTGCAAAATAGTCCTTTCCTGGAAGCTTTTAGAGGTTATCAAACTTAGCAAGTTTTGGAGCCTTAAATGAACCACGTATTTGGTGTGAAAAGAAGGTAAAATCCCGCACCATATTTATTTGTGAGCATAAGTGGAAAGTATATGAATTTTTTTGACCTATAATAACAGTAGTGTCTGTAATAATTCAGTCGGGACAAAAGGTGTGTGTGTGTTTTCAAGTTCCATCAGGAAATCAGAGTAATTAAATTGGTAGATGGAGTAAAATGGCACCAATTAATATTGATTTAGTTGTTCAAGCAGATCCATAAATTTCTGTAAAATCCTACCATAATTCTTTTAATAATAAATTTTCAGCTCTTTCCCCAGGAATCCGCTTGTTCTTATGATTGCCATGCCCTATTTTTTAGTTTAGGCCTAGCTAGTAACACTCAGTAAAATGTCGACTGAATTAAAGCTCTTGCGTGTTTCACGGAACTGTGGGTTGCAAGCTCGTATCTTTGCAAATAGTCTAAATGAAGCATGCCCTCGATCTGCGCCAAACATTTACCTTATTTGTCAATTACAGAGACATTTCATGTAAGCTAGTTCTTATTTTTGAGTCTGCCGACGAAAACCTATGGTATGACCGTTCAATACATTTTTATTGTTATAGTTGGTTTCTATAGTGTTTTACAAAATGAATTTAGATTTTCTCTAAGCTAGCTTGCGATTGACCTGCACGCATCCAAACCTCTTATTTCATTGGGCCCTATAACCTGCACTACCTATTGTTTTCAAGGATAGGGGCATTGTCATATCACCATCCCTATTGTTTTCCCAGCCAATTACAAACCTTGTCAAAATCGACCCTTAACTTACTATCGACAGTTCTGTTTGCCTAATTGCAAGTGAAAAAAAAAACGTCTTTCACCTACCTCACAACGTGTCAGACATGGAACAGCCACAGAGAGTTACGGTCCCTCAAGCCAAAAGTGATACATACTTTAATATAAGCATACACTCTTCAAATCAGTTACATTAGACAACGCAAATTCTCCATGAATTTTCTCACCGCCTGTTGTTTTTGTCAGTGATTCCCCTTTAATAAGCTGGCGTCAGAGACTTGGACGTAGTGGAGAACCAGTTTTTGTCCAACTATAGTTCCACCAAGACCGACTTAGATTCTCCATCATCTCTCCGGTTGACGATAAAACGTAATTTAACATTCTACTTTCCACTTGAGGAGAATCAACCTCGACTGATTTATGCTCACCATCGGATATATATCGTAAGCCCGGGGAGGGGGGGGGGGGGGGGGGGGGTTACTTCCTTACAAGAAGCTAATGGGTATGTGCCGCTGGATGGAGTCGCATTTTCACGATTGGATTGGCTGTAATGGAGTCGCATTTTCAATAAAGTTACTAGAATGGGCTGCACGTGTTTGGATTTTTGGGGTAAGAAAGTTCTTCATATTAATGGTTAGCAAAGGTACCAGAATGTTTGTACTCTAGGTGAAAAGTAAAGTGTTCTTCATTCAATTTAAAAAGTGGGTCAATTCATTTTAGGATGACTAAGTTGGGATCGCCAAAATTACATATTTGCCCAAAAGTGACTAAGATGGGGTCTATAATTGCCCACAAAATCGACTATAATGGGGTAGGGGCTCTAAGAGGCCAGCGGCACATACCAAGCAAAAATTAACCCAAGTACCCCCCCGGGCATTGTGATTTTTAATGGAGTGTGTTTGAAGTTCTTAAAACGCGCAGCAGCCTAAGAATAATTGAGCGCAGATTCTTGAGTCCTCGTCGAGCCTCAATTGTTCTAGTCATCTGCTGTGTACGCAATTCAATTTCTTTTTTGCCTGGAGATGGAGCTCAGTTTCCAAGTACGGCCTTTTTCCCGAGCCAAGCATACACCTGTGTTCGGATTAGGGAGTTATCGTAAGCAATGGTCAATACCGCAGCGTAACAAAACCCCAATGTAGTACTGAATTAGCCACCGAGTTTGTTCTCTTTTGGCCATTTTGTGGGTGTGCTAAATTGTTTCTATCTTTATTTTTCCGCCTGTTGGAAGAAAATCGCCTGCCACAAAAACATTTTTCCCTGGGCTTGTAACTTACTGCAGATCGGAACGGGCGGAATACATAGCCTCTAAATATATTCTCTCTTGACTTCAGTAGCTAGTGCTGGGCCGGAGGGCCTGTTTTTGTTTTGTCACTTGTTTGAGTACCGTTACTCATGTGTTGTTTGTGGCAGTTGAATGGCAGATAGTCCCACGTGATAGAAAAAGAGACAAAATACGCTTCAGACTTGTCAATCAAGTTAGACACTCCTTGTTTTATTCATTAAAAAAT